CCATAAAATGAGAGCAACCCAGACAAGCCATGACTTACTGCACAGAACAAAATGGCTCCATTTCACAGACGGCTTCTCCTCCTCAATGTGTGGGAATATGGCACACATTCGCTAGCTGGAGGTTTTATTTTAGTGTTTTGACTTACCTTGCCTCTGCAGCCAAGAGCTCGTCGTAATGGGAAGATCTTTGATCGTCGTCCTGACGGTATCTGATCACTGTGGCGAGACCTTTACTGACCAGCGCCTCAGCAATGTTTCTACAAAGAGATTAAAACAGAGAATCAGATGTTCGTTCCAAGATGCCTTGCAACACTTTACACACAAACAGATTTTATGTACTGTATATGAAACACACAAGTGTTTTCTTTAAACACACACATACATGGGGCTGAGAAAAATAATGTGTTTATTTCTGCAATTATTATTTGCCGTTTAATGCATTAAATAATTAAAGCAATTAACACAGCATCCATTAAAAAATTCACTAAATATAGCCATCAGTTTCAGTATTGGTATCTGTGATACTGGCCTTCATTAATTCGTTAGCAAAAAAAACAAACAAAAAAAGCCATTAACAAATATTTAAAATACTAGTCTTTGCAGTTTCCCCATTAAATCTGGAGATTCCATGTGAAAATACAGGTGCATCTCAATAAATTATTTCCACGACATTCTAATTTATTGAGATGCACCTGTATATGCTCACAAGTATTCATTTTAGGTCTGACTGATTACAGAAATATCTGATAATTTCCAATCGATCGACACCCCTAAATACTCCCCTATTCACCTAATCAATTTATACTGCAACTATTTTAGGATAGTCTATATTATAAAGGCTTCAATTTGCACACTGTTTGAAGGAGAGCATTGAGTGAGATAAGACCTAATTTGCAGAGCTGAAACATAATTGATCACAACGAGCAAGACTGGTGCCCTGCAAGCAAAGTGGCAAATGCATTTCTCATTGCCATTTTTCAACACAGATATTGCCTTCAGCAAGCAGCTCGCATTCCCCTATTGCAGAGCACAGCAAACATGAGCAAGAGCCACTCTGTGTCAAGTTTTGGTAATAAAATCAAAAGAGCAAAAACATGAATTAAAGCAAACAACACTTTTTATTTTTTGGTGCCTTTGCTGGTTTCGTAGAAAGAGTGGTAAACAGTTTCAGCTAGTACTCAATGGGCTCCTCTCTTTGAAAACAAACATACCACGGTTCAGAGCCAAAAAATACAATATGAAAAGGAACTATCAAGGACTGTTTAGGCTAAGTAATCAAACCCAAAAAAAAACAAAAAACCTGTACACTGACAAAAAAACACAAAAATTGCAAAAGTTGATAAACATACTATGTCAGTCCTACTTCACCATGCTTTCAAAAATCAAATGTTGAGTCAAGATGAGGCAAAGCAGCTGAGCCCTCAGGCGATGTGACCACCTGTTACCCACAATGCTCTAATGCCAAGCACTGGGGCATGGTTGGGTAATCACAACCTGAGGCGCAATACCACCCCAGACTCATGTGCCTGGCCTCACTTACCCTAACAAGGGACAGTGTGCTAGATCACACATCCAGATCAGGAGAGCGAACAAGAATCATTTGAATTCATAGAGGAGACATAAAGGGTAATAAAGCATACACCAGTCCCAATTGACCTATCGGTAAGCCCCTCCCCTCAAACGCAGATGAGCCAATGGCAGTCGAGTATCAGTTGCACGGGGAGCGGAACTCGGACATCTTTAGTTTTCAGCGCCATAGAGAAACACTGGAAGATCCGAAGCTTGCATCGGTTTAATGGTGTTTATGCTACAAAAATGGAAAAACAATGTGCCTAGGGTACTTGTAACACTAATTCCAGGTATCCTGAGAGGATAGGCAATGTAATTTATTTTATTCCATTTTCTAAATCCAACCAAAACAGAGCAAAATGTCCCTAAGCATTCAACCCCAATCACAATGAAGACGAAAACGTTCATTTTCTGGTTGTCATACTCTCATTAAGTTACACTTTTCATCTGCTCAAGCAGAACGTTAATGTCATCTTGTGCTTCAACAAGGTATCTCTGGCTAAAACTAGCTAACGTTAGCGTTAAAGTTAGTGAGTCCATGCTAACGTACAAACCTTAATAGCGAACTGTTCTCACGTCATGCACCATGCAGTGAAAGTCAAAAACATAAACGAAGGTCTATATTAGAGTGCCTCTCCATATTAATCTGGTTAAATGTAAATTCATTTAATCTTACTCTGCAGTATATGAACAGTGTTGATCCGGGATGTTGTCATTGCGATCGTGACGACCGTAACATAATTCTGCCGTTTGTATTGTGATCTGTATTTTTACATATTTATTTTAGGATCTTTTATATATCCCTCCATGGCATATTATATTTAAGTCCCACTTGAAGGTCCATCTGTGTCCCAAATTTATCAGAAACACCTCGGAAGAAGGATTTCACTGACAGCTGTCATTATAAGACAGTGAGCAACTCCGTTTGTTTGTCTGAGTGAGCAACAGTAACTAAGGGGGGCGGGGCTTACCGATTCTAAGGGTGAAAAGATTGTTAGAGAGGGTCAAGAAACATTCAGCTTTCATTTATGGTTTCTTTTCTTTCTTAGTAACGTGTCTTTTGCTCTTGGTTGTCAACTAAGACAACTCACATTTGAAGAGCAACAGCTACTGTGTAAAAATAATTAAGTATATAATTAATAATAATTAATAAAGATTAATTAACGGATTTAATCGATTTAGTTTTTAAGATCAACTCAATGACTGGAGGTGGTATAGCGATGACTGGAGTGGGAAATTTTGGTCTGTTCTCACACGATTATCATCATATGACTTAAAATGTATCACATGAGTTACACTACCATCTAATAGTTTGGCTAGTTTACTTACATTCCTCCAATGGTCACTGTAGCACAGGTGCGCTCTGGGAAAGCCGGGACGCCACCCGTTTCCATGGCACTGGTGGCAGCTCTGATGTAATCGACTGTGACATTAACCTGCAAAAACACAAAACAAAATGGTTAAATCACCAGCGGAGTCAATGTAATGCCAAGAAACAAGGCCTACGTACACAGACACACTATAAGCCTGTCAGGGGCTCAACTATGGAGATAAATTGACCACTGAAGCCACACGTGAGGACACTGCACTGTAACCCTGTTTTATGATGTCGCATTAAACATGACAGAATTACGCCAAGAAAGAGCAACGCATCAAACTTTGAATTTGATATCTTTGTACAGGATAGCAAATCATGCGAAAAGCTGGCTGTAAAGGGGAAAAAAATGGATTACAGGCCTTTCAGGGTGGACAAATTGTGTTAGGGCATCTAGCGAGGGGGTTGGTGTGTGCGTTTGTGTACAAGCATGACTTTGGGCTACTTTCCAAGGTCACCCTGAGTCAGTGTGAATCATGTCAGGCTAGACCATAGATCTCCCCAGAGGAGGAGACCATAACCCTAACTAACCCTAACCTAAGCGAGAAAGAGGCGGGGACCGGTAACTATTTCGCATGATGGCAACGGAGGCAAGCAGAATGGAAGAGGATAACTAAAGCTGATTATTTCACACCAAACTGCTCCAGGTTAAGAAATCGACTCCATTTGTGTCAAACTCTCTCCAAGGTCATCGGACTATCCCGTAGGGGGCATCGCATTCAGCGTCTTCTTGTTAGCTCTGAGCTAATAAAGAAGCCACGTTGAGATATTCAGAGATAGGAGGCTGTGATCTGGCCAATTTCGTTCAATCAGTTCTGAGCAAACAGAGGGTTGGAAGCTAATCTGAAATAGTAAGCCGGATCTCCCATCCGTCTTGTCTCTCAGGGGGGAAGATCATTCATTAATCGGGATGGCACCAATAACATCCCAAGGATGAAAGACTTCACCTGACCGACTGCCACACCCATGCTCCTCTGGGAGCATGTGGATTGATTACATCCAACCAATTAGTCCAACTGTTCTCAAATAATGCAAAAATGAATTTGATGGCAAGTACAAGACTGTATTTTTGCAATGCTTTAGCGAACAGGTCAAATCACCAGCTTAACAGTTTAAAGTTAAATTTAGGCGAAAATACCAAAAAACGCCCTGAGCTTAATTAAGAAGTTGCTCACACTTAGACATATGTATTGTGTTTCTGATCCATATGCAACTGCCTAGCAAAATGAAAATGTTGCAATAACACACAATTGTGACATGGCAAAAGAAAGTTCCATGCTCTCAACTAATTCCTAAAGTTGTATGCCTCCACTTCTGGAATTCAATCCATTTGCTTCAAAATGACAATGTAACTCAGTCTAATGGACATAATGGAAGTTCATTAGGTGGGGGAATCCTGTGGACACTCATTTTCTTACCCCAGGAGTTTAGTGCTTCATCGACAAATAAACCACAAAATGATTGCATTTTCATCCCCTCTTCTTCTACTCTCCAGTTCTCTCTCAGAAAGGCAGAGACAGCTCTGCCCCATTGAGCAGGAGTAATGAGCTTGGTTGAACGACAACATACCCTTTTTAAGAAACACAAAGCGCCAAAGATTCCCACTCATTCAGAAGAGCAAATGTGCTTATGAAGAAAGAGAAAATGAATGAGCGAGAGAAAGAAGGGGCCCATTTGGAAAGCAGATGACAGATTAAATGGGCTTTTAGAGTCATGTCTGAATAGAAAGATCTGACCGAAGGACAACAGCAGTGGAGGGTTTCGGAGAAGCCCAGCCAGAACCAGTAAGAAGAGAATGACGAAGACAGAAATGCTGCTAATGGCGAAGCATCCATCAAAACATAGACAGGTCCACTGAAATGTCTCAGGGAAATGCAGAAAGATTGAGCTGGTGCATGTACAGCAAGGATGCTTGCACACATGGTTTGACTGCTTTGTCCAAACCAGAGATGGATTCCACTCCCTCCCCCGCTGGACTCTTTTCACATTGTACATCTGGGTTCAAACAGTGGCATGTGAATCATCAATGCGAGTACCACCATGATTAATTAGATAATGAGTCAGGAAGATTCACTGTTCATGTTTTTGCAAGAAATACAATGTGAACTGCTCTCCGAATGCAAATTATCTGGAGACAAGCAGGTATAACAATGTGTGTGACTTGGAGCATGCAAAGGCACAAACGCACTACTGTTTACATTCATGCCAACAGTGAATATTCACTGTTTTATTAAAACAACAAAATTAAATAAACATTCTGCAACCAATGTCAACTAATTACAGATTAAATGACTATGAGTTAGTTTTTAACAGCAGCAACAGCAACAGCATCAACAACAACAAACAAGTGATCATTTTTTTATCATTGTTGGATTACCATTATTGTTTTCATTATGATTTATTGTATTAGCATACTTATTATACAATGGTTATATTAATTTTATTGGTAATAATTACAGTTCTTCATTATCATTAACAAAATGTCCATATTTATTATTATTATTATTATTATTATTATACAATTGTTAATTTTATTATTCTTATTAAATTAGTTTTAACAATACAATTATTATTATTGATTTGTTTTATTTGAGTTGTTAATAAATTAACAATACAATTATCATTAACAATACAATTGTCTATTATTATTATTCAATTGTGTTAATTTTATTATTCTTATTAAATTATTTTTAACAATACAATTATCTATTATTATTATTGATTTGTTTTATTTGAGTTATTGTTAAATTAGCAATAAAATTGTTTGTTATTATTATTATGTGGGGAAGAAGAAAAAAAAAAGAGTTCCAAACTTGGATCACAAATGGACACAGGTCCACACCAAAAGCTCTAGTGTGCAAACATCCTAAGCATACATGTGCATCTCTGATATGTGCGCAGCCAAACCTGCTCTCTGCAAGCTTAAAGGAACACTCCACTATTTTTGAAAATAGGCTCATTTTCCAACTCCCCTAGAGTTAAACAGTTGAGTTTTACCATTTTCGAATCCATTCAGCCGATATCCGAGTCTGGCGGTAGCACTTTTAGCTGTAGCTTAGCATAGATCATTGAATCTGATTAGACCGTTAGCATCTCGCTCAAAAATGACCAAAGAGTTTCTATTTAAAACTTGACTCTTCTGTAGTTACATGTACTAAGACCGACAGAAAATGAAAAGTTGCGATTTTCTAGGCCGATATGGCTAGGAACTATACTCTCATTCCAGCGTAATAATCAAGGAACTTTGCTGCCATACCATGGGTGCAGCAGGCGCAATGATATTACGCAGCGCCTGAAAATAGGCTTATTGGAAGTTACCTAGCTAGGACTGTTTTCAGGCGCTGCGTAATATCATTGCGCCTGCTGCACCCATGGTATGGCAGCAAAGTTCCTTGATTATTACGCCGGAATGAGAGGTCTTCGTACACGATGTAACTACATAAATAGGAAAAATATAGAAACTCTTTGGTCATTTTTGAGCGAGATGCTAACGGTCTAATCAAATTCAATGATCTATGCTAAGCTACAGCTAAAAGTGCTACCGCCAGACCCGGAGATCGGCTGAATGGATTCGAAAACGGTAAAACTCAACTGTTTAACTCTAGGGGAGTTGGAAAATGAGCCTATTTTCAAAAATAGTGGAGTGTTCCTTTAAGTCCCTGTGAGTGGAGTCTAATGCGGTGAGGGTAGGTGTAGTCAGAAAACTCTGTAATACATATTTCATGGATTAAAAGTGAGCTGCTTGTCTCATACACCACTGTAATTCCCTCTAAAGCAGAAGTAGAGGGAAAAGATGAATGAAGTCTGCACAGCTCTGCCGTGGCTGCATTGATGTGCATCAGGGCAAGGGAAAACTCAGCACGTCCTCTCCCATATAAATGAACAAACTAATAAGCATACCTGCTTGGAACATACCTGCATAAACACAGACATCAAACGCTTGACACTGACGTTCCACTCAGTCACTGTCTCTTGTTAACACCTCACATACACAAACACAAACGCTCACACCCACATAACAGGAGGTACTTTGAGCGGGCAGGATTATCCAAACGTGCTCTTTCCTGATAAGTGGATTAATGCAACATTTTCATTTGACTTTTTCGCTGAGGCAGAGACCCTCTACAGAGGCGCTACTTAGAAAGTTAGCCAAATCTAGCTTTGGATTATGTCACCGGGAAGATCTGTTTCAATACCAAGAGGAGGAAACACTTCTCCACGCATTTTCCTCCATTACCCACTGCTAGTGAATGCCGCTCATTCTCTCCATCCCTTCAAAAGAAGAAACACGATTTGAAATGGACGCCACGCTTCAGAGCTGTGGCTCACTGGGGCTTGGAAGAGTTTCTTTACCTCCTTTCCTTTCATTCTCTTGCTGATTGCGCCGCTGAACTCTGATATTGATCACATACTCGTCGAGATATAATAGGAGTTGAAATTTGACCTCTTTGAGGACCTCTTTTTGAAGACTACATACATGTGTTAGAATGACAGACGATAGATTCAACCTCAATGAATCCACCAAAATCAGCTCAAGCTCTCCCACTAATAGTCTGGAAACAAAAGTCAGGTACTGCTTACCCTTTGTGACCAGCTGGGTTGCAGCCTGTAAAGAACGAATGGCATCTTAAATGTCAGAAAAATGGAAAATCAAAAGTTTCTAGGCATAAAATAGTCCCTTCTGCCCTAAACTAGCAGAAATTAGTCATTAGAGTTGTACTTAACGATGTCCCAATTTTATAGTTATGAACTTCTATAATTGCCCAGATTTTATTTCTCTTTTAAACAGTTTGAACATTTTCCACAGCGGTTGCCAGGGCAGCAGGGGGGGATTCTAAAACGAGGTGTGCCTCAGTACAAGGCCTCATACCCACACCACATTGTGTCCTAGCAACAACTAAAGGAATATGACAACAGACTGTTAACGAGTGTATTTTATTTAAAATTCGTTGCTATCAAGCCAGTATTAACAACTTTTGCATTTGGTCCACCTCAATATTGAATATCTGGTTACAGCTTCGTTTAATTTCATTAAAAAAACTGAATGTTTCCTTTACAGGAGTATTAAGATGCTACTTTTGACTCAGAAGATTGAAGATTATTAATACTATACACTACTAATTTAAGTCAAAGCACTTCTGTGCCACTTAATGAGCCAAAATTTAATCCTCAAGATGATTGCCGCAATGCTATCTTGAGCTGAATAAATTCTGATTGAATTCAAACATTCCCACACTGTTTGCATTAATATGCAAACAGGCATCTTATCACGCAGAGCGTTGTATAAATCCAACTATCTGTTGACTACCGCTGAGTGCATACATGGGAAATGCAAAAATCTGATCTGAGATTAAACTCGTTGCTTTCCATTTCCCGTCTCTAGTGTCAAAATATTCACATGATTCCAGGTCAGTGAACCAGACTTCTGTAAAAAGAAGAGGCAATAAAATATTGGTTTCTAGAAGCAGCCTTACGTTCATACAAGGATAATATAAAGCGACATTACTATTCCATGCATCTAGTGATAATTTATGAGAAAATGTCTGTGTGTGAGGAAATGTGCTGTCATATCTCTTTGGTGTTAAATCAAATAGGCCTTACAGACAGGGCTTTTCAGTATTCTGCACATAAACACTGAATTGTTTGGGTGAGGAAAGTCTTGAACAGACAATAAAGCACAGCTTTATACAATCTGCCCATTATACTTCAATGAGTCCCAATATGACAATTTTCAGAACATCCCACACCAGTTTATACCCTGCTGTCCCAATTAAAACAGCAACAACTTCTGATGCCAAGTATTTCTATTTGTTATGAGTGACACAGATGGAAACACTTCCATGTTTTACATTTCCTCCTCAAATCACCCCAAGTATTTTCTCAATACACATCCATGCGCTTGTTGTGAGTGATTCAATACAATAATCCAGTGACATCAGGAACAAACAACTTTTTTTAGCTGTTCAGGGTTAAATATTAAATCAGGGTTAATGTTAAACCATAGATATACTAATGTTCATTGTTCATTCATAACGTTAATTTACAATATATATATTAAAATTATTATATATGCATTATGCAAAATTGTTAAATTATATGTGTTTTTATTTCATTCAAATATTATAAAATTATTATAAAAACAAGTTAAATGATTCTTAATGCATTAACTAGTTGAACATTTACTGTTAATCCAAATAAAATAATATAAAAAAAAAATTTCTTCATGATATTTCATCAAATTTTTTTAACCCATCCCTTTCAAGCATCTGTCTCATTGAGAAGTTTTTATTATCCAAGTGATTCTCAATGAAAACATAATAAAGATCTAATAAATAAATAAATAATATATTGTGGGGAATAAGCACTGCAATTATACTATATGACTTTTACTGTATGCACATATGTGTGTAAACATCTCAACATTTCTCATGTCGATGCCCTATGCTTTGCCATTCCTTTGTTTTCTTTAAAAAAAAGTAAAAAGAAAAAAAAAAGTAATTTGTGCCTCTGTGAATGAAGTGGCTCTGCTCAAGGTCTGTGTGGTCAATGTGTTCAGTGACTCCAAACAGAATACAGAAACTCAGAGAAAGTAAACAACTCTGCATCCATATGCAATGGGCAGAAAAACATATGGAAAGAAAACTTTTATACAGAAAGGCTAAGGCATAATGTCTGTTTGTGGGAGAATGTCACAAAGTCTCTCACCTTCTTGCCAATGAGCTTCTTTCTCAAGAATTCCCGTGCCTCAAACATGTAAGGAATGTCATAGAGCGGACGGAAACGCTTGTCTTTGTCCTTGTTCTTCTCCTATAGAGTCAGACATAAGAGGGGAAAAGAGAAAGACAGACAGAGAAAAGTCAATATCACATAAATAAAAAATAGCTTTCTGTCCCACAACATTTAATCACTTCCTCAGTCTCTCATATGACTTCCTTACAAAATGAGGTTTGAAGCTTCCTGTCTTCCACCCCCTCACCTCTCTTTCCAATTTTACCATTCTCTTACAACCTAATATCCGCCCTTTTCCTACACAACCATGCTAATGTGTCAGGATTGGTAGATGACATGTCTCGTTGCCTTGATCTCTTGGTGTTCCAGGCATGTGACCCCACAAGCTATACGAGATGTTCTCCCTTCCACACACATTGATATACTAGAAATAGAACCTCATTTACATTTTTCACAAGAAAGGGGAAAAGGTTGTTATCCTCCCAGAGAAATGCCAAAAAACACTCGGTATGCTCAATATTCCAGGCTCCCATATCACAGCTGAGGCCACGACAGTATGAATTAACACACAGTGCCACATTCAGAGCCACTCTGCCTAAAATAGAAAATAAAAGTCATTTTTGTGTTGTGGGAAGGAATGCTGAACAAATCACTCGTTTCAATGAATCAGTAGATTGAATTACCAAACCCAGTCTGATTTGCTCATGATTCAGACTGATTTAGTTCAAGTTCAGAGCCACTGCACCTGAAATAGAAAATAAAATACTAATAAAAGATGTTTTTGTGATTTGGGAAGGAACATATCACTCAGATACAGATCAGTAGAACCCAGTCTTATTAGCTCATGATTTGAACTGATTCAGTTCTTAAGTTCAAATCACTGATTCAACGATCAAGTCGCAGCAGTTAACAGCCTGGACGAGAGAAACATTGCTAGGGAATATAGACTGATTTCAAGCCTTTAATTTTTTTTGTGAACAATCAGGTTAAGAATTAGGTGCCGATATTCCTCAACAGCTAGAGATTTTTTTGGATTTGGCTCATTCCAAGCAACAATGCTTTGACGCTTGAGGGAAAACCAAACGCAAGAGCAGAAATAAACTGCAGATAGACTACTAACAACACAGCCAGCATAAGGCATAGCTTGTGGGAGAGTTGAGAGAGATCGGACTGTTAACCCTAAGGACCAAATCTTTCAGCGAATAAAAGCATATTGACTTAAAAAGCATAAATCTGAGCGGTTTTTAAATCCTCAAGCTCTGAATCCAGCAACGTTTATCTGCTCTGCAAATAACACACTTAAAACTACATCATCTGTGCCCACATGGTCTGATATTCGTTATGAAATAAAACCATATCGACCACCCACTTTTGAGAGTGAGACATTGCATTTAATGCGCCGAGACATCTCTTCTGATGGAGGAGCTTTCAGGATGGCTAAAGAACTGTGCCGATGGAATAGAATACAGACAGAAACCCCTGATGGTGAACGAGAGGACAACCCATTTTCAGCCCGCCTATAAATATCCACGGCAATTCCATTCCCCCGAGCAAGAAAAGCAGAGGGAGGCCAAGCAGTCTTGCATTAGAGTGTGTTTTTTGTGTAAGTGTAGGTAAGAGAGCAAGCATTCGGGGTTTTGCTAGTTGATCATGAATGTCAAGACAGTAATCTGTGCTTTTGTTTTGAATATGAGCAGGCTAAAACCATATTATATTTGACCCGTGTGATGGGGATAACATACTAACTGAAGCTCTAGCATGAAAGCGCCATATGTCAATGATAAAACACTCAGAATCAAGGAACCAATGACCCTGGAAGTCTTACACAATGAACAAATTCAATAATTTCATCTCATTATGTCCACTAGACAGCTGTAATGCTGCTGAATAGCAAAATCAGCACACGACAAAAAGCTCTATGTCGACTGTCGACATAAAAAGTCTTTGTCATTGTATTGGGCAAATCAAGTGTGTTCTGCAAAGACACGGCAGGCTGGTTACTGAACCGTGTGAGGAAAAATGAGGATTTCTGCGCCTGGCTGACATGCCGACGTTTGCCCGTTACTGGCTCTTAAAAATGACGGTTTGGCTGCATGCAGTGAACACAAGAACGGTTTCATTCTGCAAGGGCTAAGAGGATAGAGCAAGATCTGCGCAACTATCAGTCAGGTATGATAAGCAAAAATCACGTGTTGATGCATGAGAGAAAACTGACAAACTGAACTAGTACTACACTTAACTCAAAAATGTAAATGCTGTCATTCTGATAATACCTTATGATTCGTCTTTCAGAAGGTCCGTTTTCAAAATGGAGACTGTGGCTGTGGATCTCCAAAAATGCACCATAAAAATAGTTATAAGTCTATATCCAACAGTCTAATAATCTTCTCCTCCACCATAGTTCTTAAATTCTTTCACTTCAAACCCAAAAATTTACTATTTATGAATTATTATTTCATAATAGTTATTCCACAGTATAAAAAAACATACCATCTTGAAAAAAAAAATGTAAAACATTTTTAAAATAATGCAAAGCGCAAGGAAAAAGGTAGTTTACATCACATGATATTTTCAGAGCCAATAAATGTAAACTTTTGTTCAAAACAGCATAAATGTTTTTCAGAACTATGAGAAAGATTTTTCCTTTTCAATATCTTCCACAACTTATCGACCCTAGCAGAGCTTCAGAAGACTCAGAATATAGCGCATATATCATATGAAATACTCAATTTATATAGTTATTATATATATTTTTTAATAGTTATTATATATAAAACTGGAATTTCGGCAATATTTCCTCTTTTGAGTCCCACTGAAGAAAGTCATACACGTTTGGAACGGAGTAAGGGTGAGTAAATGACTATTTGAATTTTTTGAGAGAGCATGTGTGTGTGATGTATTATACTTCTTGTTCAACACACCTCAGCTCCTGAACTTTAAATCTTCCACACACACCTTTCTCACATGCATAGATTTCTTTGTCTCCTACCTATATGCATTTTCATTCCTGCTTTTCTCTCTCTTTTTCTCATTAGCCAATCTCATTATCTTCAGGTGATAAATGGCCTAAGGATTGGATGTGACTGAAGCAGAGAGAGAGAAAGGAGCTCTCGCCACCGTCAGGCCTAAGGGTCCTGAGACCTCATAGGAGCTCCTCCATCAGGGAACAACCAATCACACCCTCAGCAAAGACTGCTTAACAGGAAGAAAGTCACTGCTTGGCACAGATGTCCAAAATGAACCTATTAAAGGAATATTTCACCTAAAAATCTAAATTTTCAATTTACTCATGTCTTTCAAACCTGTATGACTTTCAGAAGACAAAACATATTTTGAAGAATGTTTCAACTGTTTTTGTTGATATAATAAGTCCTGTTGTTGATATAAAAAGTCCTATCAATAAACAATGGAATAAAGACATTTTCAATATATCGTTGGTAGAGGTCGACCGATAGTGGATTTTGCCGATACCGATAGCTAGGTTGGACCACACTGGCCGATACCGATTAATTAACCGATAGTTTTAAAATTGATACTGAACAAAAACTAAAATAGTGCTTTATTAACAAAAACGGTACTGAACCATACTAGTAGTAAAAAAATAAAAAATAATAGTAATAGTAAATCTCGGTGCCGATTAATCGGCAAAACCGATACATCGGTCGACCTCTAATCGTTGGTGTTCTACAGAGAATGTCATTCTTACACAGTGTTGGGGAAAGTTACTTTTAAAAGTAATGCATAACAATATTGAAAGTAATGCGTTAAGTTACTTTTGCGTTAAATCTGGACACGGCTTGCTTGTTTTAATAAAAAAATAAAAAATAAAAATAAAAACCTTTTTGGCAAATATAAAAGCGTTCTCACACCAAAAGTGAAATGAATAAGCCACAGGCTGAAGGGAAAGTAAATTCACATCCGTACAGTAGAATGCAGAAGAAGAAATTTCAACACACTTCAGCAATAAAAAAAAATAATAAAAACACAAATGTTTGTCTAGAGTAATTTTTTAATTACATTTAAATTTAAGTAATTAGTATGGTTGAACTGGATCATCGAAGGTCAGAAGCAAAGACATTGGTTAATAGAATGGGATTAAATACATAAAGGATATTTGTGTTGTTTAACATTTAATTCTTGCAGGTTTGCGTCATATTCTGAGTTGCATTATTTTTATTCATTTTGAGGAATACTGAATCTGTGTTTTGTTTTGTTTTTGTGAGTGAGATGAATTAATGCATATTCATATTTATTTTAGAACATCTTCTGATTTCTCTCAACATGGGGACAGGAGAGCTGTCAATCAGTAAATTGGAAAAAAGTAACTTGCATTACTTATTTGAAAAAGTAACTCAGATATTCTCTTGTAAATTAAAAAGTAATGCGTTACTTTACTAGTTACTTAAAAAAAGTAATCTGATTACGTAACTCGCGTTACTTGTAATGTGTTACCCCCAACACTGTTCTTACATGTTGTAAATAACATGAGGGAAAGTAAATGTTCATTTTTTTTAGACCTAGCCCTTTAACCATACACAGCCTCACTAATTAATTTATTAATGTTTTGAGCCTATTATTGAGACAAAAGGACTAAGTGTTCAGAATGATACATAAGTCCATACAAATAAGCAACGTAAGAAAAGCAAGTTAAAAATAAAGTGGAAAAAATAAGCAGAAAAACGAAAAAGTAGAGTCAAAGCTCCATTTTCCACTCAGTTTGTTTATCTTAATGTTCTAGGTGTCATTTTGCACATGCAAATTGTTAATTAAGCATATCCTTTTACATTTCCATTTGATTGCCATTAATGCCAGATAATACTCCGCGAATGTCACTTAAGTAAAAGATTTGTTTTTGCACTTTAAGCAAATGAGCAGCTGAAGGATTGAGGAGTGACACCTTATTTACTAAGGAAGAACAGGTGACCTGCAAACTGAATGTCATTTTCTAGCTTTAAATTTATGCAAAAAAAACTAAAAAAACTAAAACTGATTTCACTAATTAATCTTATGATTATCACGATGCATTCATCAAATATTGCATTCTTCCTTTCATCTTGTGCAGATGAGCTTATGTATTT